TCATAAAGGTTGTAAACGCAATTTGCAAAAATCTGGTGTATAATTCTATAATAATATGTATTCACTTAATTCAGGTGATTCAAATTATTATTTTTATTAATATAAAAAAAAAAAAAAAAAAATACTGCATAAATAAAAAAAAAATATTATAATTGTATAAGTTGATAAAAAATGCTACGCAATAACTTTACCGCGGCAGTTCCCGAGTGCCACAGGTTTTTTTTTTAAATTTATTTGTGTACGTGGGTCATACATTTTACGGTGGTAGGGCCACGCAACAGTGTTCGCTTTTGCACGAATGGGCAGGTCCGTCGGGGTTAGTACTCACACAATCTCACAGAATACCGACGTAAAGTAGAAGTGTTGCACTTCTGCGTTTCGTCTGGTGGGTGAGGTAGCCGGGGCCCACATTATTAAGAGGTGGCAACGCATCTGCAACCCTACGGGTGTTGCAAATGTCCATGGGCAGGCGGTTATCACTTAACATCAGGTGAACCGTCAACTCGTTTGCCACTTTCTTACATAAAAAAAATACATAGCGCACATACAGTCAACAACTCTTTTGAAGATAAATCACGATAATTTGTACGTTTGTAAGCAAATTAGAAAATTTGTACAAGTACTTTGCAATCAGTCAGTTGGTGAACTTAATTATATTAAATTAGTAATTCTCAACGAAGAAATAACGACAAATTCAAGTATTTTTCTTTTAAATTTTGATACGAAAGTCATGTCTGCAGTCAATATTCTCCAACTCATATATTACGTATTATAAACTCTTACACCGCCATTACCTTATCTATAACACAAAAATACATGAAGCATACACATATAAATACAAAAGCAGTCACTTAAAGAATGTTTCAAAAGCGGGCGTTGCAAAATAAATGGGAAAACTGCGTACAGTCAGCATCACAACAGATCGACACGCGTGTTTCAAACTCCCAAAAGCTCCGCGAAGCATCAAAGTCGAGAATCGCTTACGCTCTCCGGACAAGAGTTTATCGCACTCCGTTTAGCTTCGGACGTTAAACTAGACACCCAAGTAGTGGATTAGGAGGCTGTGCCTTGCGCAACGCCATAAAACAATCCGAGGCGGCCGGTAGGCGTTCAGGAGTCAATTTTTAAGCCCCGACACGCGAACGCTTTACGATTTGTTGTTATTGTTGCAGCTTTATGATATTTGTACGGCGCTGATTGAGCATCTAATTCGGTTTGTGATAGCGCTGCGGAACATAGATAGGTTTTTATATAAAAAGCTGGATATAAACTTTAGATACAACGACGTACTTATCGAAAACACAAATTGGATTCATATAGTAAAACACAGATAAATGTTAATTTCTTCTGAGAAGGCTTTCGTTGTAATAGTGTAAATGTGTAAAAATTCATCTTATAATTCTTACTAAATTTATTATATTTCTTTTTTATTATCATAAATAATTTTGGACTTCAAAATCAATAATTATTATTGAACCTGTCAGTAATGTAAATAATGCTTTAAGGAGAAAATCTTTTTAAGCCCTTAGCGTAAGAGGTGTCCCTCGGAGGATCATTAGACTCACAGGAAGTTAATTTTTAGAAATAAAAAATCTTTACACATTTTGTACTATTGTGACGATAATATTTTTAAATTTGTGTTCATGTGTATTTTTATAGATCATACTTCTGCCTGACTGAATCTTGCTCATTTTCTAATTAAAAAACACTTTATAATATTTAAATCGAAATGGAGCTAAAATTAAAGAATACTAACAAGCTAATGACTAACTTAAATTACTCGAAGAGGCACCTAAAGAAGGAGTTAAAGTTATTATTTACACCTAAAATAAAATTGGGAAAATCATAGTTCAAGGAAAACTAAGTTAAAAGAAATTGTTAATTTAATTTAAGGTAGCGTCCTAATTATTTTAACATACACATCCTTACTTTGGCGATGATTGCGCTTTCAAGCTTTGAGGAAGTTTGAAGGTCACGGGGAATGCGGCAGAACTCCTAACCTTTCCGTTTTTTTTGGTATTATACTTTAATAATAAAGTGTAAAAATAAAAATTACGGACGAAATACTCGAAGCAACGCTTGCAGTGGATGAAAAACTAAAGTCGTTACGTCACTTACTATCAAGCGTACCGCCCTTTCCTATAAACCTCGTAGGATTTGGCTCTGGCATTTTAGTAGAGGCAAATTAACAATAACGCTATGAAACCAACCGAACCGCACGATTCTGCATTACAGATGGACGCGTTGTTCTATCCCGGTTTAAATTTAGAGCTGGCTGTTGTTTATGAGACCAGTTGTGATGTGTCTGCGTTATGCTATATCGTTGGCCAAGGAAAACGACGTTCGGCTATTCCTGAGCAATTTTTCAAATAATTTTGAAAGCTGGGACCGTCCGTTGCTTTGTAATAGTTATTTAACGATCCAGCATAAATTTGCTCGCAAAATATTAGGTTTTGCTTATTAGAACGTTTAAATTTGCGTTCGTTAAAATCTATGCAAAAATGCTTTACCAAAGATGCCTTTTATTTAAAACACTGGTGGTTAGCGGTACTAGTAATTTCTTTAAATAGGTAGTAATAATATTTACTTAAAATATTCATTGCAGCAGGTTAAACATTTACCTTAGAATTGTAAACGCAATGTCTAATAACGCTATAGCAGTTTTCCCATTGCAGCACTTAAATCTATCAGAACGAGAAAGTATAGTTCCGCAAAATGTGATAAAGGTTGCAGATGTTCTTAAAATTGAAGAGTAAAACTAATTCGTCAGAACACAGACTCCAAAAAACAGTATAGAAGTTGTTTTTCCATTAAACTTTATCTCAGAAACAGGCAAACAGCCAGTGAGAAACGTCGTGGATGTCCTTAATAATAAAGAGCAAAACGAATTTTATAGAACATAGACTCCAACAAATAGTATAGAAGTTATTTTTCCATTACTCTGTATCTCTGAAACAGCCAGTGAGAAACGTTGCTGATTTTCTTAATAATAAAGAGAAAAACGAAATCTATCAAAACATAGACTACGACACACTAGTATAGAATTTGTTTCTCACTGCTCCCACCTAACGAATAAAACAGTTGACGGTCAAGATCCTTATGCCGTACCCCGACGCCCACAGCTGGCTATACCCACATTTTGTTAACGTACGCATGACAACATGTGTGACTCTGCTTAGATAGGGTCTACCAAGCTGGTGAAAACGTAACCTTTCCACGATCAAGCTTTATACAGTCTACGGAAAGCGCACACATCTATGATGATAAAGAGGAAGATAAAGACGTTGTTGAGGTTGGAAATAATATTCAGGACAATGCATCACAGCAGTCAGTTAGGCAGCCGCTAGGTCACGCAATCACGAAACCTCAAGTGGCTTATAAATTATTTAAGTCGCTTAAATAAATTTAAACATTGATTCACTGTTAGTCGTAAAAGACAGAGACTAGAGAGAGCAGAAAAGACGTAAGAAAGGAAACCTTTTACTGCTTGTCTCTTCTAGTCATCTTCTAGTCCACTCAACTTTTAAAGAATCAAGTTGTTCTACGATACTTAAGTTACATAATCTAATTATTTATTTGTATTTAAATAAGTTATCCACTCAGTACTATTGCTGTAGTGTTCGAAACATAGATGGAGTGGAAAAAAGAACCACTAGTAGGCTTTATTTAAGGAAGAGTGTCAACACTGCTTCGCTTTAACAGTATTGTTTTTAAATATATGTTCATTAAATGTACACTTTAGGGTTTTCATATTGCAATGAAGATGGAGAACAAATGGTATTATAATTAAATGTGAAAGTGAATTTATATTTTTTGGAATCTTTAGTTTAAAAAAATCGATGAAAGCCTCCTTAGCTTTTGAAATAGATACCTAAATTTACACTTATAGAATTATACATCTAAGAAATATATATATATAAAGTATGTATTTCTGAGCTATATGATAAAATAATTCAAAAAATTTTAATAACACAGGTTAAGCTATCAAGGGCACGGAATAATTTTTTCATCACTGCGTCTACTTACAACTTAGATAAAGTTATTCTATGTTTCAAAGTTACATAATATGTATGAGTGTCTTATCTATTTTATAACCGGCTGGATTGACTATGACTCCATATTTACTTCTGGTTACTTAGCTAACATAGAAAACGTTCAAGAAAGATTTTAATTTTTAAGTAGGCGTTGATACCGGACGTAAATTATAGGAATTACATTATATAAATGTTTAAAAGGCACAATAAGCCACATTGGCTGATGCATGATCATGGCTTCGGGCGTTGATTTATTGGCTACTTAACATCTACTTTGGTTAATTTATGCAGCGCTTAAGCGTTTATGCCACTATCTGATAAACGAGTTTTTAATCTAGGTACTTACGAACATCCATTACTATAAAATCCGTTCCATGTAGCTTTTAACAAAAAAATGCCCGTTTAATATCATTGAAATAATTGCTAATACACGTTTTAGTACTTATTAAAACTCAAATGAGTTGATTGTTTAGAAATAATCCCGAAGGTTATGACGCGGTTAAAGTTAAATCCGATAAACATCATACACTTGAATAACGGTATTAAATATATAACCTGTTCAAGCACCATGTTACGCTAGTAATAACACATTTGTTTACATGTTATATTAACGTTGGTCCATTAAATGTTTTCACTTTTTTCTCTATAATAACACTCACTGGTGTTTAAGTTTTCAATTATAGTCACTATTAGAATCGTATTCAAAATTCGAGCTACTTGAGGTAAAATTTCCCGAAAGCAGCGGGAAATCATTTTCGCGGTTCCGTTAAATCTCATAACTCGTTAATCCCGCTGCGGTGATCTCGCGTCAAATCACGGGATCAACGAAAACCGATTCGTTACCGACACGGGATCGACAACGGAGCGTTCCCGACGGCGCGGCGGCGGCGGTCCGAACTTGAACAATTAACACTTACCTGCGACACGACACAACACTGGTTTATTGTCTCCGAACCGGGGTCATCACTGGTTAGTCGGATTTAGTGGCGTTGTGAACTGTACGCGCGCGATGTTTGCGCCAAGTGCGTCGGTGCGCGGCTGCTCGCGGCGGTGGCGGGTGACGTTGTGAGTGCGCAGGCCAACGGACGCGTCAGCCCGGGCGGGCATCCCTCGCGGCTGGAGGCGGGCCTTGCCCGCGCCTTGTGCCGTCGCCGTACGGCGCATTTTGGCTGGCTCAGTTAGCCAGCCCGCGGATTTTGCTAGCCCGCGTAGATTCGCTGGGCTCGAGACGGACGCCTTACGAGGTCTTTTGGGATTGAGGCGAAAACGTAATCCGATAGAATAATGATGAACTGTATTTCGTCCCCGATCGACGCGAAAAATCACGGGAAAGTTCGCATCAGACCAGATACAGCAATCGTATATTAAGCATTATTATATGTCATGTAAAACATTATCTATTCTGCTAGGTTTTTATGATGATAGTATTTAAATAATTATTAAAAAACATCATATGAGACAATTCACTGGTGTGATGCCAGCTGCATTTCCCCCTAAATGGTTATATTTAGCTTTTGCTACAGAAAGAAACCTGATCTCCTGATTTACGAATTTTAAATTTCCTACATTTCCTACATTTTGAATTTACGTTGTTAATTTTTTTTATTCCGCTTTAGAGTTTAAGATGGATAAATATACCTAAAAATTTAGAAGAACCCAACATCCTAGCTCTTTTCCAACACTTCGGTCAATAACCATTTCCTTATAGATTTAGCCCAATACCATTGACCCATTGAATGCCCATTGCCCATTGACTCGTATTTAACTTCGTTAATGTACTTACACCTCTATACCTATACCCATATTGTTTGAGCTACTGCTATTTGTACACTTATCTTAATAATAAAACCTATATTCGCCAGTACAAAAAATTTTAATGTAGACATGTATTGTAAAAAAGAGTAAAAAAAACCTCACTCTGGAGAGACCGTAACAAAACTAATTGGTCTAATTACAATTTTCATTACGGCTTACCGAAATCAACGATCGGTTAGTGATGTTTAAAAACATTCAGGGCCTATTAATAGTGTATTAATGCTCCTCGAAAATTTTTGATTGTTTTTGTTGAATTTTTGTTTGCTTATTAATGACTGTGATTTTAACTGTGATATTGACTTTGACTTTGAAATGCTATGAATTATTCGGCTAGCAAGGTAACAGAAAAGGTACTTAATTATCCAGTTGATAGAAACATGGACGTACCTTTATTGTACAGTATTCTATTTTAAAAAAGCCAAATGTTAAACAGAAACCCTATTAAAGTTTACAACGCACGTAGTATTTTAAAGTTCTTTTCAGTATTAATTTAATTTAAGAGTAATTATTTAATGTACGAAAGGTTAATAAAAAACTATGCCCTTGTACGCTCTATATAACTCTATTATAAAAGTTTTACATCAAAACCGCACATTTTTTCATTAGATAAAGACATGTTTAAAACAATGCGCCCTCACACGTCGATGATCATCCAAATCTGGGACACATAGTTGTTACATTTGCTCAGTGTGAGATATAATATAAAGAAGTAATTGCCCTTTTAGTTTGTATTCGAAATGAATAAAGACTAAAATCCATTGTTTTGACAACGTTAATTATATTATAAGACTGTTTAAAACTTCATCAGACGTAGCTCAAGATTGATAGTGTTTTTACGCACTGACTATGAATCGCATTTTCTCTTCACATTTGAAGTATTAATATTTGTGAGAGCATAGATAATGTAAAAATCATGGCTGCCAAGAAAACCGCGCCTCAGCCGGTTTATTGCGTATAATTGCGCTTGTGAATTTATTAAATCCATTGTTATCTTAAAAGTGGGAAGCGATCTAAGGTGTTGTTTATACGGTTTTAATGGAGAGCTTTCTTATAATGGTTTAATGACGGTGCCACCGTCCGAATAATTAATTTTATAGTTGAAGGATAATGAAATCGGTTTAGGGCCGCCGGTTTACAGAGCCGTTAATGTAGTCATTGTAGTGAGCACTTCATAGTATTTACTTTAGGGCTGCTTTTTATTCCTTGTTTTCTTAATAGTAATTTTTTTGAACATTTAGATGATTTATTAGGTTCAATATTTTCATCACTAAGAATTAATATCTCTTGTTTCTTAGTAAAGTTTATGAGGTTTTCCACGAAACAATCTTTTGACATATTTCCCTTGGGCTAATTTCAATTATAATTAAATGAAAATACACAGGAAATTCGTGTACGAAATTTATGTCGAACCATTGCGTCAATAGGGAGCTACTGTCGGTCTATCGAATTCGTCCGTCGCAAATATGACTCATGCTCGAAGTCTGCGTAAGAATCCAATTCGACTTTCCCGGCCGAACCGGCCGAACAGCCGATATGATAATGCAATCTGGTGATCTGATGATGACTGGTAAAATGTATGAGTATTTTTAAAAAGCAACCAATTACGATTTAATTTTTTGTTGAGATATTGTTTTGTGTAATGATTAATTAACAAAGTGACATAACGACCTTCACGATTGCATTCCCGTTTTCTTTCATCTCGCTGGCTGCGAACAGAAGCCGTAACTGAATAGATCATTGAAATTATTACGCCATGAAAATAAATTATTAAATTATCGAAACAAACTCCTATCATAATCGTGTAAATTTACGGCGCGCAAAATAATTGTTCATTTCAAATTTGGATCTTTAGATGTTTATTATAGGTCAATATTCGATTCCACTCCCATTAGTTGTTATATATGGCAACATTTTCCGGATAATATAGGATTCCGGATAGCGTACTTATTACAACAGCGATATACTGCTGAGAACCTTGCCCTCTCGTATCAATTCAGCATCGCAGCTAATAGTATTTGTATATAAGTGAACGCCCTCCATTACCCTACACTATACATTAGATGTTTATAATAATTTCTATCTAATATTTTGTGGTGGGGAATCTTGGAACCTTCAGAGGCATAGGATATTTGTAGACGCATTGGATGCGCGTGCCGCATTCCTAAAGTGTTGACTCGGCTCACCTCAACACAAAGTAACCTGAGCGCGAGCAGGAACCAATGAGTACGGATAGAAAACAAAATAAACTTTCAATTTTTAATAAAATCGAGGTAAAATATAGGTACACACACAACATAAATTATTGGGCTTTTTAAATTTTTTTTCTTATTTTTTTTACCATTTAATACCTCTGTATAAGAAAGTCTACAATGTACTTTACTCCGTTAAAAACTTCCTTATGTAAATTATTTAATTTGTTTGGAGTGCTGTTTCCTATTTTGGTTTTTAATTTCTCTCACTAAAAGAAACAACATCGTTCTAAACAGTGAAATTTTGCTCATCAAATGCGTTAAATCATATTTTGCTGAATGCAATCGTGAGATGTAGTGGTATTATGATTTTCTTCGTAAATTTTGGAAATATTCACTAAAAGACTGGCGTTAGTGACAGCTACAGCTCGTTATAATCTTCTTTGCCCTTTGGTTTTAATTGATAAAATATATTGGCAACATTAATAAGAAATTTTAAAAGTTTGATATGACAATTTTTGATACGTTTAGTTCTTCCTTCGGTGGAGCATGTCGATATGAATATTTAATTATGTAATTAAGCTTATTGTTTTCTAAAATTAAAAGGATATTAACACGATTTTAGAGCGTCACCTCAATCATTAAATACATTCTAATCCTGTTTTCCTTTCATATAAATTCCTTTTTTCATTACAAATTTAATCATAAAAGAAGGTAACGTATTCGAAACCACCTTTTTACGTAATTTTGAATACACTACAATCTTTAGAAACATCGATTTATTAATATTCTGCGTGGAATCCAATTTCAAACTCAATAATACTGTTGTTGAACCTTTGTCAAGAAGTATAAGAAATGGTATACTTCTTGTTGGTGCAGTTTTTAGTCTGTTAACGGTGCCTCGCCAAGGCGTACATGGTAGGTAGGTTATTTGCGAAGTGCGCTGCTAATTGCTGACGGGCCGTTTCGCCTTTCAGCTGATCTTACACCTCGCAATTGCGGACCCTAAGATCCGACACGCAGGCGTGCGTCCGCAACAAAATAATAATCTTAATTAGAGATGGCGGCGAACAACAGTGCGTTAATGGCAGACAAGCAAGGCTCGGTAAAGCCTAATAAATGAATGTTTTTAATCTATTCATATATGGGACAATTTTTTACAAATATTTTCCTATAGTCAATATAGTTGTGCACAGTGTACAAATTAGTTTATTATTAAGCTGAGTGAAAACGAGGTAACTCCGGCTATTTCAACTTGTTCTTTTAGGACTTGTCCGTTGTCGTTATGGTTTTCTCATTTATGCAGCCTAAATGGAGGAACAAAAATCAGACATACACGTTGCCACATGTTATTGATGAATAAATTAAATGCATTAAAATGAAAGCATTGGATTATAGATAGCATCCCAAACCGTGTTCGAAATAGTTTTATCGGAAGACTAGTGTCACATTTTTCACTGTTATATAAGATAGAGGAAAATTGTTGCATTTCATATCCGTGTCCACTTTATAATACAACACTTCGAGTATTCAAAGTATATTGTGTCTAAAACAACTATAAACCCGCATAACTTGCACTTGGCCTTAGCGCAAGTCTACGGCATAAACTATGTACAGTTGTGTACGTCCTACATGTTTTACAGTCAATGTTAGACACCTTACCGGCCTCTAATTTATCCTCGATTATCATTCTAACGACGCAAATGCATAATTACGGTAATGCTAATATGCAATTTCAATTAAATTTATTGGACGGGATTATTACTTGTACAAAACGCGACCGTCAAGAAAATTATTTAGTTTAATTCTGTTCTTTACATTTTAAGTCTTTTTATGACTACATTATAGTAAATAATTTCCAAGTTAACGAAAGACACTCATTGTCATGTATATTATGAGAGTGTTGCTTGTGGAAGTTCGATCAAATTTTATACAGTAAAACATTTGTATGTATGCTTTTACCTTACCTATTTTGTTTGCTTTGTTGAAATCAGAGAAACTTTTCTTCTTGTTTTCAACTTTCTAAAGACACGAAAATAACACATAATTTTATAATGTGACCTATAACTAAAAAAATTAATGATATACTGTGAGATCTGATTATTTATACATATTTTATTTAGGACTTTAGAGCAAGTGTCAATAGGCGGTTGTTATTAC